TACTCGTGCACGTTCACAGTGCCAAAACAAACATGCTCAGCCCTTCACTCTCTCTCAAAGGGGTGATGTAAAAGTTTACGCACACAGGCCGGATTTTTCTCATATTGGGGTCCATATTTTGCAGATTATGAATGATAACGCCAAAAACCTTGATTACGGTCACTTCCTGGCAAGAAATCTCTATCCCTCAGTTGTGGATGCGATTATTTTTCCTCTGATGGTGAAGCTGCCCATCCTTCTTGGCAAAAAGCCTCCAGTTCCTGTAAATTCCTGTAAAGTTTTGCATGAACTGCACGTTTGAGATCTCCCCAGAGCGGCTCAACGATTTTATCATTTCAAATTCAAAAACCTGTCTATTCGGCAATTTATAGCTTCCTACAACCACTGTAAGTAAGTAAGTAAGTAAGTAAGCTTTATTTATACAGCGCCTTTCACAGACCAAGGCCACAAAGCGCTTCACAGTTTAAACAGGTAAAAACAGACAAAATACAATTTAAAATGTGCGTATACAAAAAAATAATACAAAATATACAGTCAATATAATGGCCAAGACAACTCAGTGACAGGTTTAAAACAGCCGCAAGAAAATTATGTAAAAGCTTGCCCAAATAGTATTATTATGAATGATACTGCTATCATTCATAATATGTTGCATTTAATAATTCATTTCTGCTGGGCGTATACACTTTCAAGAACAACTATTTCTGCTCCGACTGCTGTCTCTGCTACCCAGCTCCAGATAAAGTGGAAGAAAATAGATGCAGCTCTAAAGTAGCAAACTCTAAAGTCCTTCCTCCCTCTTTTCCATCTCCACCCCATGATCTCACCACACCATGATGTCAGCGAGGTGTGTGTGTGTGTGTGTGTGTGTGTGTGTGTGTGTGTGTGTGTGTGTGTGTGTGTGTGTGTGTGCGCGCCTGTGACAGATTTTAAAGTACTTTTTGTGGTGGACGGGAGAATGAAAAGTCCGTCTGATGTGGCCTCTGGAAAAGTGGGTGTCGCTGCAGTGATGTGACTTTGAAAAGTATTTTTAGAGCTGCTTAAATGTGCCCAAAATAAACTGGAGTCTGTTTAGGTTTTATTCACCCATTAACCCCAGCTGTTGTGTCCTTAGGCAAGACACTTCACTTAAGTCTTTCAGGAGTGGAAGGACGCTGGGTCGTTTTACTGAAAATAATAAAAGATCTTAGATTGGCACATCAGCCGTTCAAACCGTAAAAACACTAAATGCAAATAGGCTTTTTCAGGTTTTAATGTATTGTTTGTTGAAAAAAACAGATTCATCCAAGACTTTCTGCTTTCTAAACTGACTGCAGAACCTTAACCCTGACCCTAAAGAAAAGATATACACTTGATTACTATTGTTAGCTACTTTTAGAATGATGTAGTTGTTTGTTTTGTTTGCATGGATGGATGTAGCCTGGTCTTACCACACCATCATACACATTTCATTTCTTGTATAATATATATTTTCTCAAATCCGGGGCGAGGATGGGATCAACGGGGGATCAATAAAGTATCCATCTATCTCTATCTATCTATATCTGTATCAATCTCTATCTATGTCCCTTTGGATGCAGCCGCCAACATGGAACAACAGATTAATTGTGTCGTTTGAATCATAAACACTATTGAATAAGTTACTCATGAATTGATTTGAGTCGATAAAAAGTCAGATTTCTAGAACAGGATTGTTACGACCCTACAGTTGAGCTCGTAGGGGAAGAGGGAAGTAACATAAAACCAAGGATGTAATAATGGTAAATTAGATGGCCTTTTAATAAAACAGGCAAAAGGGGTAACAGTTTGTACTGGACAGCGTCAGAGTCAAATAAAACACACAAAAACACAGGGTTCTCAAATAAACACAAGCACAGAGCCACACAGGCAACCTTAAGCTTAATCTTTAGCGCACACAGACAACACGTTCTCTCAGAACGGTGGCAGACAAGACACTGATTCAAGCCGCCCCGCACAGAAGGAGCAGACTCGTTTTCAAGGCTGGTGCTGATTAGCCGCAGCGATGGATTGGCCAGACGTGGAAAGCGCGACCCAATCTCCGAACGGAAGGCAGAACTGGGAGGCAGCGTGCGTAGCCGGTGCACCATGCAGCGGGGCGGAGCCTGAGCAGAACAGCAGCACAACACAGGAGGGAGGGAAGCGGGTGTACGACGCGGCCCAGCGCCAGCGGCCGTAACACTCCCCCCCTTAAAATACAAGCCATCTCAAAGTAAAATCAGAGCAAATTTGTGAATTACTCACCCGAACACAGAATCACAGACTTTGCCTCTCTCGTGGCGAATCCCTCAAAGGAACACACAGATCAAGGCCGCGAACTGAAACTTGCAGAGCGAGAGCCAAAACGCTCTCCATGGTGCTGAAAGTGCCGCTCGCCTGACCCAAGCCTGGTGGCCCTAGCCTTGTGCTTCCGTACAGAAGTGGCGGGTGGAGTAAAGTGCGGCGGTACTCGTGGTTTCACTGGACTGGCGGGCAGACTACAACCGCACTGTTCTGGAGGACGGGTGTGCGCCACAGCACAACCCGTGGGCATCTGACGATCAGAGGCACACACAAGCGGGGACAGAACCGCCTCCAACAGGGGAGGAAACACCATGCCCCCTGCCAAATCATTACATAAAATCATGTCTACATTTTCAATGGGTAGCGCAGGGACAACAGCTAACGGAAACTTTCCTGTAACGAGGTTTGACTGGACATGAACAGAGTGAACGGGCCGCGGGCGGTAGCCCATCTCAACTCCCCGTAACACACTCCTGTAACCACAGTAAGAGCGGTATGAAAACGGGAGAGCACTGGCCAAAATCAAGCTCTGGGAACCGCCAGTGTCTCGTAGGATACGGATGGGGCGTTGATCTGGTGCTTCGCCATTCAGTGATACTAGGCCCTGTGATATGAAAGGCTCAAAACAGGAGCCGTGATTTTGGACAGTATTGGGTCCTGACTTATGACTTACAGATTGAATTAACCCAATGCTCTGAACGTTTGGAGCTGAACACTCTTCCTTTTGTCTGAGAGTAGGGCAGTCTGCGATTACGTGTCCGGGCTCGCGGCAGTAGAAGCAGACTCTGTCCCTTGTGGAGGTTCCAGGAGAGCGTGGACGATCAGGCTGCACAGACACACGCGTCTCATTAACAGAAGATGACGAAAAGTTCTTATGAGTCAACACAAACTCATCTGCTAACACAGAAGCCTCAGAAATAGTTTTAACCTTTTGCTCATTCAAATACACAACCACACGCGCAGGCAGGTTGTTCTTAAAGTCTTCTAACAACATTAATTCACGCAAAGAATCGAAATCTTGGGCCTTCGCAGAGGCACACCATTTGTCAAACAGATTTCCTTTTTCCCGTGCGAACTCAACACACGTTTGACTCGGGGCTTTACGGAGATTTCTAAAAGACTGTCTGTAGGCCTCAGGCACTAACTCATACGCGCGTAAGACTGCTCTCTTGACTGCATCATACTGCAGGCTCTCAGCGAGAGGCATCGCAGCGATTATCTCTTGTGCTTTACCGTACACTTTACACTGCACAAGGATAGGCCAAACTTCACGAGGCCAATTTAACGCCATCGCGATTCTCTCAAAAGCAGAAAAATACGAATCAACCTCACTCTCCCTAAATGTAGGCACAATTTGTATCATTTTACTCACGTCAAGAGAGTCATGAACAGCTGGGGAGAGGGCTGTGGCAGGTGCAGCGACGCCCGGGCGTTGAGTAGGACTGGGGAGGCGGCCTTCGGCCTCCAGCTCAAGGCGTCTGAGGCGCACAGCTTTGTCAGCCTCGATCTCAAGCCTCCGTATATGCAGTTCGAGCTCGGCACTGCGGTCCCGATCCTTCTGCTCGGCCTCCATCTTGATGCGTGCCAGCCGCAAAGCGCGCCGAGCACCACCAACTGAGCCGGGAGAGGAAGGAGCTGGGGAGGGCGGCCCGTAGCGAGGAGGAGTGCGCGGTGGTTCAGGCCGCGCATCGCCCTCTACAAACTCACGCTCCGCTCCGGGAGGGCCATCCGCAGGCGTCTCCGTACGTCTCGGGGTAGTCGCATGCACGATGCTCTCATCAGACCTCTCAGCCTCTGGGATCAAACGCAAGCCCCTCTCCACCAAACCATCCAGGAGCAGCACCTTGAGTTCGGCCTTGCTGCTCTGACGGGAATACAAAATCTCAAAATGATCGGCAACCTCAAATAGATCCTTCTTTTTACAGCGCTCAAGTGCTTCGGCCGAGGGATGAAGCAAGAATGCCTGTAAATTGAAAGCGGTTGCCATTCTCCCAATGTCCAAATACAATACAGCTTACCCCCCCACTTACCTAATAAATTTGATTCGGCCACCTAATGCCGGGAACGTGTAGATCCCGGACGAGCCCCCAAATATGTTACGACCCTACAGTTGAGCTCGTAGGGGAAGAGGGAAGTAACATAAAACCAAGGATGTAATAATGGTAAATTAGATGGCCTTTTAATAAAACAGGCAAAAGGGGTAACAGTTTGTACTGGACAGCGTCAGAGTCAAATAAAACACACAAAAACACAGGGTTCTCAAATAAACACAAGCACAGAGCCACACAGGCAACCTTAAGCTTAATCTTTAGCGCACACAGACAACACGTTCTCTCAGAACGGTGGCAGACAAGACACTGATTCAAGCCGCCCCGCACAGAAGGAGCAGACTCGTTTTCAAGGCTGGTGCTGATTAGCCGCAGCGATGGATTGGCCAGACGTGGAAAGCGCGACCCAATCTCCGAACGGAAGGCAGAACTGGGAGGCAGCGTGCGTAGCCGGTGCACCATGCAGCGGGGCGGAGCCTGAGCAGAACAGCAGCACAACACAGGAGGGAGGGAAGCGGGTGTACGACGCGGCCCAGCGCCAGCGGCCGTAACAAGGATCAATAAAGTTTCTACGTCTCTAAAGTTGGGTGCCGTGTTGTGTTGCAGGTGCGTGAGATCCTGGGTCGCTGCTCGTGCCCGGCTCAGTTCCCCATGGTCAAAGTGTCCGAGGGCAAATACAAAGTGGGCGACTCCAGCGCTCTCATCTTCATCAGGGTGAGGATTATTTCATTGTTACTCTTTTATGATTTTAATCCCATTTGTGATTTAATGATAATGTGAAATGGGCTGTGATATGGGGCGACGGTGGCTCAGGTGGTAGAGCATTGGCTTTTGGGTCCAAAGGTCGTGAGTTCGAGCCCACCACGAGACCTTCTCCACCGACTCCCACTGATGTCTGCTGTCGTTGTGTCCTTGGGCAAGACACTTAACCCACTTTGCCAATAGGGAGCGCGGAAGTGATGTTTGCTGCTTGCCTTGATGTGTGTATGTATCAAACTGAAATTTCCCCACTGTGGGATGAATGAAGGACCTTCTTCTTCTAAGTCATGGCGTCTAACTCTGCTCTTCCAGGTCCAGGCTTAAGCAGATTGAAAACAAAAGAACAGTTGGTTTGTCTTTTATAACATATTAGCATTTGTCTGTTCTTTCTGCGCCAATTAAAATAATTTGTCGGATCTGTATTGGTTCTAAGATATCGGAAAAACAGAACACTGATTCAGTTCTTTATTTTAAAAGACTTATTATCATACTTCTAAAATTGAAAAGAAAGATATTGAGATTGGTATAAGATATGAAAAAGCTTGACCAGTGCATCCCTACATAGCACACTGTTTGTATCCCCTTATATCTAGATGTTTCTATTAAATGTTGTTTATTTGAATAAGACTGAACATAACGTTTATAACAAATAACAAATGAAATGACGTCACAATTATTAGCGTAGTTGGTAATGTTGTCCTGAGCCATACACACACACTGCAGGGCCCTGTGCTGTCAGGGCCGTGTTTGATGAGACTCAGATCAGTCTCCTCCTGTGGTGGTGGTGGTGATGATGACGGGAGGGCGTCCTTGGCCCCTGTCTCCATGGTGACGGGAGATTGCTTTGGGGGTAGGACGGCTCACACAGGGATGGGCACCTTCTATCTTTGTGATCTGATGCACACAGAGGTTTGGATTTGATATTATATAAATGTTCAAATTCAGTCCAAATAGATTGCTTGGGTTGAACATAAAAACAGTTTAAGGTGTTTGGGGACATGTTTGTACCAATGAAAAATGCACTCAGTACGGCAATAATGTTCCCTCTGATTAGAAACTAAAATCTGATTCATGTAAACACGTCACCTTCCCCTGTTCCTCATACAGCGGTTCAAGAGAACCCTGTCGACTAAACAGCCAGAATAACAGGCACTTTGTCAGTGGTTATGTTCTAATGTCCATGTGTCGTGTTGTGCGGCAGGTCCTGCGCACCCACGTGATGGTGCGGGTGGGCGGAGGCTGGGACACGCTGGAGCATTACCTGGACAAACACGACCCGTGCCGCTGTGCCGCCTTCTGTGAGTCTCCCATCACTTACTGTCCCCAGGACAGGCTTGAGAACATGAGCAGAGATGAAGATCATATAAACACATGTTCACAGTTGTCACTAGTGACAAATCCAAATGTATGACATCTGCTCTTAATACATAATGTTAATTGTTTTTATAAATGAGCTTTTATAGAAATGCAAAGAGGCCTCACATTACCACTCGGTACATGGAAGTGGTAAGCTACTACTGCAGCCTCAGCTGCCCTGGGGCAGACTAATAGAAGCAAGACTCCTATCCTGTGCCATTGTCCTCTCCGACCACCATCTTTCACACACACACCATAATGACACACTACAATGTGGGGATAAAGGATCAGGCTTTCACACTCCCTCTGCTGTATGTGGTGTGCAGCCCACAGGTACCACCAGAACAAAGCCGGGGGCCAGACTCAAGGGCCCCAGAGCAAGTCGTCCAGTGCTCAGTCATCTCGCTCCACAAGCCCAGGGCCCCACTGGAAGAACGAGCCAATTGGCACCTGCCGCTCAGGCTCCTCCCCCAGCCGCTCCTCTGAGGCAGACTGCCCCGCCCACAACCTGATGCCCCGCCCACCTCAGGACCGCTCTGAGCCTCGCCAGCTCAACCGCCTCAGGTACGCTGCACTCCACTGACAATCACCACGTGCACCATCGCAGAGAGAGTAACCCACATTTACAACATTAAATTACATGATATCTTCCCATGCTTCCACAAACATGCACACTCTAACACGACTTGTGTGTGACCAACTAAAACTCAGGAAAAGAGATCGGGACAATTTATCATAACTTTCCTTTTCTTCTTTAAAAAAGTGATAACCAGCCATTTGTTCTCATGTGTTCTGCAGTGTTGGTGTTGTCTAGCTAGGACCATGTAGCATGTACAGCAGAATGAGCCTCATGTGAGTCTCTCCTTTGGGTTGTTGGTTTTAAGGGTGAAATCCCTTTCGTTTATCATGAACTCCATCTGCAGTAGACTTTCATGAACCAGTGCAGCCTCAGCAGCAGCTACAACAGAGTGTTTCCATTCATGTGTTGCATCATGTGTCCATTAACACATTAATATATACAGTCTATGATTAACACACAGTGTCACAGTCAAATCAATGCTTTAAAGTAAATGCTGCTGTGTGTTCTAGCTCTGTTTAAAGTGGTGTGAACAGACATTCTCTCAGCAGATCCCTGTCCAAGTTTGTTTAAGCCTCACTTGTCTCTGAAGGTACTGTAAATGCTTCAGTAATCCAATTCTGAAGTGACAAGTTTGGCTGCAGTCCTGCACAACAGTATGTAGTGAGTGCACCTGCAGAGGCTCAGACATCAGACGGCCATTAATCCTGCTCCAGCAGGTGCCATGGCCTTCAGACAGCTCCAGCTCTGCTTTGCCCCAGTGAAGACGTGAATGTGAATCTGCCCCAGTGAAGACGTGAATGTGAATCTGCCCCAGTGAAGACGTGAATGTGAATCTGCCCCAGTGAAGACGTGAATGTGAATCTGCCCCAGTGAAGACGTGAATGTGAATCTGCCCCAGTGAAGACGTGAATGTGAATCTGCCCCAGTGAAGACGTGAATGTGAATCTGCCCCAGTGAAGACGTGAATGTGAATCTGCCCCAGTGAAGACGTGAATGTGAATCTGCCCCAGTGAAGACGTGAATGTGAATCTGCCCCAGTGAAGACGTTAATGTGAATCTGCCCCAGTGAAGACGTTAATGTGAATCTGCCCCAGTGAAGACGTTAATGTGAATCTGCCCCAGTGAAGACGTTAATGTGAATCTGCCCCAGTGAAGACGTTAATGTGAATTGCCGCTGCGTGACAGGACAGAGGTGCTCCGGCTCTCGGTCACTAATCTACGTGTTCATATCTCTGCTAATCCCCGTGACTCTGCTCCCAGGAAACAGCACGTCCTTAAAGATGCACTTTGCACATCTTCTGACCGCACCCACCATGGGGATGTTATTGTTATGTATTATAACATACTTTTACTAATATATTACTGCTCATAAACCTGAATTTGTACGGTGAGTGGACCAGCTCGTCTCCAGGGCGTTAGTGCCAAACTGACATTAGACACAAACAGGTGACCACCACCAGGGAAGTTGTACAGTGCATTTTTAACTGCATCCAAGGTGCTCTACTGCACAAGCAGTTATCATAACAGAATGAAAGAATCAATAATCTACAATACCAGCTCCTGAGGTATTTGCTGGAGACTCAAGTTTTAAATGTTTGTGAACCTGTGTGTTTGTGTTGCAGGAATAGGGACTCGGCGCTGCCGCTGACCAGACGTCTCTCTGGAGACAGTGACTCGTCCACTGCTTCGTCTAAAGGAGGAGGAGGCCTGTACTCACGGCGCTCCGGAGAGGAGGTTATCCTCATGGTCAACCGCAAGGAGGGCAAGCACGTTATCGAAAGACCCGGAGCAACCAACCCGACCAGGACCCAAAGACCCTCACCCCGCGCCCGCAGCCAGTCCAGAGAGCCTCTCCACAAACCCAGCCCCCCCACGAGCACCGAAAACAGGCTGGAGAGGGGCCGCTCCCTGGGCACTGACGCCCACCGCAGAGTCCATGTTCCTCGCTCACACAGCCAGGGGAGGCTTATAAGTCGCACCCGCGCCACTGATCCCAGCCCTGGGCCCACATCTCGTTTCAGGGACCCCCATAGAGAGGACCTGAGGCTAAAGCTGGGGCCACCCTCCTCTCCCAGAACCCCCAGGAGGCAGCCGTCAACGGGCATCAACTCGCCTGCAAAGGGTGCACCCACCAACTGCAGTCCCAATAAGAAGAGCCTCGCATCCCCCAGACCCTCAGCCCCCCGCACCCCTGCCCCAGGAAAGGCACGTCTCCCGTCAGTGTCTCACTCCCCCCATCAGCACGTGTCCCGCCCACCCAGGCAGTCCCATGGCCGCGGAGAGCTGCACCGTAACGGCTCAGCGGAGGAGCCAAGGGGCCGGGCCTTCCACATGCTGCCCCCTCTGGACCCTCAGCGAGAGCAGGACCTGTACCGCAGTCTGGAGGCAGAGTTCTTGGAAAACTCCCGAAAGGTGATGTCTGGAGGCGGGGTTAGAACACACCTAGTGCCTGCCTCTGATGTCACAGACTCTGCCTACTCCTCGTCTAACTCCTCGTCTTCCTCCCTGTACGTGGGCACCAGGACAGGATCTCTGCCGGACTTGAAAGAGTCCAGGAGATCTCAGAGAGCATTCCATGTGGACGACCCTTTGACGTTTCTGTATGGACAGAGTCCAGGGGCCAGTGGACGGGGTCAGGGGGAGCAGGAGCAGTGGGTGGTTCGGGGTTTGCGGAGGCTGCCAGCCATCACGAGCCCTGCAGACCCCAAAGACCTGCTCACTCATGTACAGAACCCCAGTGTGAACGGTCGCGGGCCTGTGGGGGTTACAGGAAATGAAACTGTTCAGTCAGACGTGCCTCACTGCAGTGAGGAGCCACCCCCCCTCTCAGAGGAGTACTTGGACTCCTCCAGTGAGAGCTCCTCCATGTGCTTCAGTCTGAGCGACTCCCCCCCGCCCTCTCACTGCTCAGGCCTGCTCAACGGAGGGACAGGGGCCTCAAGGAAGGACCCCCACAAGCACAAGCTGAGGGCCAGAGTAAAGTCACGCACTGACCCCAGGCCTGCACACAGCCCCTCCAGGATCCCCACCCCAGTGAAGTACAGGTCCCCCTGCCTCACCCCTGTCAGCTGCAGGTCCCCCTGCCTCACCCCCAGTCACACACCCCCCCTGTCGCCCCAGGGCCCCTCACGCTCCTGTACGAGCCTGCAGCAGGCCTTCTCAGGGCAGTAAGGGAGGCTCCACACTGACACCTGGATGTAGACCGAACAATTGAGCTTTTTATGGATTGAATTTGACTACTATGATTGTGTCCATGCTAATGCATTTTGATGTCAAACCATTGTCATTTAAATTTCAAAATAACAAATCAGAATCTTATTTAATTTCTGCTTTTTCCTTGATCCAGACATTATGTCAGTGTAGAAGAATCACTAAAACATTTGACTGATTTTATCACTGTATGTGGCTGAATTGTTGTGGTTGCAGAGGGATTTGAATGGAAATGCATTAGTGTGGACCTGGTTTTGTAAAAAAAAAAAAAAAAACTTTCATTGGGACTGTTTTTTTTACTGCATGTCAAAATTTTTTTTAGGTTTTTCCCCTGATGAACTGATGGGGTCTTCATGTTGCTTTTTTGCACTCAAGCCAAATTATTTATTACCAAAGGAACGTTTTTACTTTGTTGAGATTATTGTGTGCATGAACTTTGTTTTTGCCAATCACCCTGTTTGAAACGGACTGGCTCCCTCTGCTGGTGAAGCTCCTCCACTACTCGGCTTGACTCCACTACTCTCTACTAATCTCTATAAACTCCGTCATTTACAGTATTTCAGTGTAATATTCAGAACCATCAACATCAGTCTGTACTGTTGCCTACTGTTGTTCAAGTAGTTTTCATTTTTAATTTAAATGAAATTATGAAGTTGAAGTATGTCTGACATTGTAATGGAAGCAATTGGGGTCCATTAAGATTAATTAAGATTAAGAGATCCTTTATTTATCCCACAGTGGGGAAATTTCGGTTAGATTAGAAATATAATTGCTTAGATTAGAAATATTATCATAACAGAATCCCAATAGCATTTGGGAAACTGCTGCTGCAGACTTCATATCTAATCTTTTCATATTTACTACTAATAAGAATAACAAAGGATACGAAGGATGAACAAATACCACCTTGCTCTTCATAAGAATTTAGTATTTATTGTGTGTTTTTTGGTTTCCAATTTATTTTTTTAAATTTGGATAAATTGCTTCCAAAGCAGTGACAAGAGCCACAAATTTTTTTTTTTCAAATTTATTTTTATTTTGTTTTATTTTTAATGCAGTATAAACAGAAACAATTATTCTTTGCCTCAGTTCGAAACAAGTGTATAGCAGGCATCTGCCAGTACTGACAATTGTACATGACGCGTTTGTGTGTGTGCGTGTGTGTGTGTGTGTGTGTGCGTGCGTGTGTGTGCGCGTGTGTTTGTGCGTGTGTGTGTGTGCGTGTGTTTGTGCGTGTGTGTGTGCGCGTGCGTGCGTGTGTGTGTGCGCGCTGCTGTAGCTATGCAACAAAAGGCCTTGACTCTCCCCTTTGCCTTAAAACTGCCCACGCACTTCACTTCTGTTTGAATGTTCAGTTTCACACTCGGTGTTTTATTTGGCATCGCAAAGAAAGCAAAAACGACAATGTATGAAAGACAAAAACATAATTCTTAAGCTATTATCAAGGTTTATGTGCAATTTGTGCAAGGTTTATGAGCAAACAGACTCAGAAACATAACCTCATTCACAAACTCAGCTGCCCATGGAATTTCCCAGTCAATGTTTTTGTTCTCAGATAAAAACTGCCACATGTGGGCCGGTGTTTATGTGAATGGAGGTAACTCTGAGTGTTCTGGTATTGTGTTCCCAGAACTTTTATGGGACCTTTGTGTGAGTGGAGCGTTCAATATCCCGGAAAGGAGGCAACATTTTAGGTACATTTCATGACATAGTTAAATCATGTGTGTTTTAAAAGTTAGTTACCCCAGCTTTAAAATATATGGTATTTAAGCCATTGCAAAATGTGAATCTGTCCCTGGCCCAGTTCTTTCACATAAAGTATCCATGGTTAAAACTCCTCTTCCTCCAACTCATCTACTGCCAAAAAATTGAGGTCTCTTTTTGATAATTTCGACAATTATCAATATTTGTTCTATTATTTTTCTAATCATACTTCTATTTATCAATCTTATTTAGTTGTTCCTGTTTTGCCTGTGAGTAGAAAAGATTGGTTTGGGAATAATCAGCATTATAAACCAATACCGCCTGCATCTTAATCATACGTTGCCTCCGTTCTGGAATTTTGAACGTATAACACACTGTTTTAAAGGGTCTATACTTTAATATTTGCAGTCAATGGTCTGTCTATATATAATTAATTTTGTGACAGGATACGGTGTATAGCGACATCCAGTGGTCAGAGAGAGAAGAGCGTGTAGAAAGCCAAGGCGCAGCAGCACTGTGGGTAGAAAGAAATGAACTTAAAAAAATAAAAATAACATGGGTAGTTTACTGTAACCGTGAATGACAACAATAAGTGAGGGTTTTGTGTGGAGGCCTGGGAACATGTGAGGCGACTGAAAAGGTGAATTACTTACTGCAAAACATGACAATAAGTGCTTGAGTAACATAATCTTGATCTGAATATACTATAGTTTGACAGTATAAAGTGGACATACATATACAGTGCTCCCTTGGGCACTTTATACAAACGTATATCCTGCAGAAAAGAGTAATTTATCTTGTATGTTTGGGTAATCCTGTGTTACTCAGAATGTCAGTTTTCCACCCATTTCTCTGGTGGGTGGCAAGTGATTATTCGACAAATTCAGACTCAATGTAACAAGGCAAAGTTGAAAGGCTTAATGTCAGGCTGTGATGTCACATTCCAGGCCAAACAAAAACATTCAGATAGATCCATAATCATTAAAAATATTATGAATGTGAAGGGAGTGAGTCTTTGAAGATGAGCCATGTTTAGCCCCTCCCATGCAGCTCACTGATAAAAATTGGTCATTGGTTTAACTATTCTCCAGCCAATCTAACTGTTATGCCAAGGGGAGTGGCTAAATAAATTATTGTTTAAAAAAAAACTTTCTGTACATAAAAGCACAATGTCCCATGGTCAGAAATATGCATTATTTTATAGTGCAATTTAAAAATACAATTGCAGACATCACCTTTAAATTTCTCCTTTGTGAGATTAATAAAGTATACCTTATCTTATCTGAAGTACTCTGCGAAAGCTTGATATGTATCCTTTAAAATAATGTTTGATCAGGAAAGAAAATCAATGTTTTTGTAATTTAGTAAAGGTTCAAAAGTTTCTCAAAGCACTTAAAATCTGTTTATGTTTTTGCAGTGAGACAAAAACATTCCCGTTTATTGCCTCCTGTAAACATAGGGCTGTCAATGCAAAGTGAGGCATAATTCTTCCACTTGTGTACATATTGTGTTGGAAAAGACTGACATGAAGCGTTCTATTTATTTATTTATAGTGAGTATGGAACACTAGCTGTGTGCTGGGCCCAAAAGGAGGAAGGGAAATGTGTAAATATCTAAATTATAGGAACTTTAACAAATTTAACTTAAAGCCAATGAGGGTTGATGGATAAAAAGCACAAATTAACAGAGATGGTGCCATTTTAGAATGTTACGCTGTAGAAAAATGAATGTTTTTGTTTTTGGTGATTTCTTTTGGACTGAATTGGAATTTGAAATTACTTGAGATTAATCCACTTCACAATGATCTAATCCAAACACCTCAATTACACAGTCTTGATTACTTAAAAAAAAAAAATATATATGTAGTTTTCTTGTGTCAAGAAAATTATTTAAAGCCCAAACATTTTTAACAATTGACTTGTTAAATAAAAGAAACTCGTCAAATCTGCTTACATAAAGAAAATAAATATTAGATAATTTTGCATTGTACGACATATTGTTTTTTTTTTGGACACATAAACAATTAGAATATTGTGAAGAAGTAAACACATTTCTTGTAATTTTCATTTTCTGAAATGACTGTAAAAACCTTGAACTTCTCTTGATTTACGTCAATAGCGTTGGAATTGTACCAATGTCATGATCAAGGGAACTTTTGAAAGCCAAAGTATTGAGGGTTATTGATTCATTTTGACAGAAAGTGGCACAAATATGAGCTTTAGTGACACTGTTTGGACCTGACTCGAACACTACTGTTAATGTCGTCACTTTGCTCATGATGTGACTTGTTCTCTAACTTATTTAACTCTGCAGAATAATGAATGATTGTGAGAATGTTGTACAAATTGTTGTTTTCACTCATGACTTATTTCAATAGCTTTGGTTGTCAATAAAAAATAATATGGTTGTCGCCAATCATAATTCACCTGGATCACCATGGAAATAAAAAAAATTAAAACAATTTTCAGCATCCAGTGTAATCATTACTCTTTAGACTTTAGGCGCCGTCATTCCCCAACTGTGGTTAGGTTTAGGTGGATGTTTACCTAATTGGAGTTAATCATACTCAATATTTTTTTCCATCACAAGGTTCCTTTTGTCCTTACTGTGAGTGCATCTCCACAAACCTGGAACCAGCAAAGCAAAAAATAAATTAAAAAAGAATAATAATAATAAAAAAAAATAATAATAATAATAATTCGTACCTTTTAAGTAAATTGATGAAACTCTAAGCTAGTAAAAGTAAGGTAAGGCAGTTTTAATTAGAGCAGGTAAGGTTAGTTAGTAGGTAATAGAATAGGTATCTAGGGTAATATGTATAGGTTACTAATGTATGTTTGTGTTCTTAATATTGTGTATTGTCTTGGGCCCTCATCTATAAATGGATGTTAAAATGTTTTTTACTGTATATTTGTAATAAAACTGAACTGAACTGAACTGAACTGAAACCTGGAACCACTAAAAACATCTATAAAAAAGACTGAACCCTGTGTGAAGCTCAGGTCCTGGGTTTCAGGTCTATATACTGATACATCTTTGTGCAGATCCGTTACATTTCCAGGAGTTTGATGGTTACATTGTATCAATATTGAAGAATATAATGCTTAAAAACGAGAGTGTCACTGTTTGCTACATGTGCACTTTGTGATATCACTGCACATGGAACTCCAGCAGACTGCAGTAGGTCTATAGACTGTATATTAGTAGGTCACATGTCCTGCAGGTGACGACCCTCCACAGAAATTTAACATTTATGATTTTTTTTATTTTATTTATTTATTTATTTATTTATTTAATTTATTTATTTATTTATTTATTTATTTATTTATTTATTTATTTATTTATTTATTTATTTATTTATTTATTTATTTATTTATTTATTTATTTATTTATTTATTTATTTATTTATTTATTTATTTATTTATTTATTTATTTATTTATTTATTTATTTATTTATTTATTTATTTATTTATTTATTTATTTAATTTATTTATTTATTTATTTATTTATTTATTTATTTATTTATTTATTTATTTATTTATTTATTTATTTATTTATTTATTTATTTATAATATAATAAGAATAAAAACACAATTGAGAAAGATTAAACAAAGCTCTGTGGTTTGCATATATCTCCATCTGAAGTGATGACAAAACCTGCCTGTTGCTTATTAAAGATACTGACTGAAACCTGACACCGGGAGAACGCGGAAGTGTGTTTACCCGACCTGAGTCCACCGCGTTACCGCAAACACTTCAGCCCACAACCGCTGCTGCTCTCACGGTAAGACGCCCCCGTTTCTGCCCTCTCCCCACCGCCTCCACCTGTGCTAACTTCTTGGGTAAGGTCTAGACCAAAGCCATAGATTAAGAGCTTAAGTGTGCCGACTCAATCTGCTTTAAGCTCCTACTTAGAAGGTCACATTTTGGCTGCTAGCTGCCGGAGAAGTACCTGACACTGACAGGCGCAGCAGCGGATAGCACTTAGCATTAGCATTAGCATTAGCTTCATTCATCTGACAAGCTAGCACAACAACTATAGCAAACATGCAGGAATGGGCCAACCAGCTATGCGTGAGTAAAGCCATGTGTCGCAGTGTCCTAGCAGAGTGGTCTGTACTCGGTTTTAAAGTGTGTCGTGCTGGAAGTTGTTGTCGTTTTGAGACATGCTAATGCTACTAGCCACCCTCCAGCTACAATGCTAACGAATGCTAACAAGCGCTGATACTGCGAGCATATAACGTCATGTGTTATTTTAAACATGGGGTTTCAGGAGAGAAGTATTGTCATCATTCATCCACAAGTTTTCACACATTGTCCTGTATCTGTTTGAGTCTGGTGTTTTGTTTTGTGTCTCTGATGTCTGATAATGATTAACAACAAGTGCACGTCAGATAGTTAACTAAGTGTCATAGCAGCTGCTCTCTACTACTGCCATTCAAAGTCATGTGATCACAAACTGAAGCAAGATATTAGTATTGTACGCATCACTTTACGTCGGTATTTTACGTCATTGTTAAATACTACCTAGGACAGGTGTCTCAAACCTTTTTTTTACCCAGAGAGCTACTTTCCCAGGACGATAAAGGCAGAGAGCTACTCCTTTAAGCGGCCCTGTGAATAATGTGGTCTCTCTTTGGTCTCTCTCTCTGGTCTCTCTCTCTGGTCTCTCTCTCTGGTCTCTCTCTCTGGTCTCTCTCTCTGGTCTGTCTCTCTGGTCTCTCTCTCTGGTCTCTCTCTCTGGTCTCTCTCTCTGGTCGCTCTCTCTGGTCTCTCTCTCTGGTCTCTCTCTCTGGTCTCTCTCTCTGGTCTGTCTCTCTGGTCTCTCTCTCTGGTCTCTCTCTCTGGTCTCTCTCTCTGGTCTCTCTCTCTGGTCTCTCTCTCTGGTCTCTCTCTCTGGTCTCTCTCTCTGGTCTCTCTCTCTGGTCTCTCTCTCTGGTCTCTCTCTCTGGTCTCTCTCTCTGGTCTCTCTCTCTGGTCTCTCTCTCTGGTCTGTCTCTCTGGTCTCTCTCTCTGGTCTCTCTCTCTGGCCTCTCTCTCTGGCCTCTCTCTCTGGCCTCTCTCTCTGGTCTCTCTCTCTCTGGTCTCTCTCTCTGGTCTCTCTCTCTGGTCTCTCTCTCTGGTCTGTCTCTCTGGTCTCTCTCTCTGGTCTGTCTCTCTGGTCTCTCTCTCTCTGGTCTCTCTCTCTCTCTCTGGTCTCTCTCTCTCTGGTCTCTCTCTCTCTCTGGTCTCTCTCTCTCTCTCTCTGGTCTCTCTCTCTCTCTGGTCTCTCTCTCTCTGGTCTCTCACTCTCTCTGGTCTCTCTCTCTCTCTGGTCTCTCTCTCTCTCTCTCTGGTCTCTCTCTCTCTGGTCTCTCTCTCTCTGGTTCTCTCTCTCTGGTCTCTCTCTCTCTCTCTGGTCTCTCTCTCTCTCTCTGGTCTCTCTCTCTCTCTCTGGTCTCTCTCTCTCTCTGGTCTCTCTCTCTCTCTCTGGTCTCTCTCTCTCTCTCTGGTCTCTCTCTCTCTCTCTGGTCTCTCTCTCTCTCTCTCTGGTCTCTCTCTCTCTCTCTGGTCTCTCTCTCTCTGGTCTCTCTCTCTCTCTGGTCTCTCTCTCTCTCTGGTCTCTCTCTCTCTCTGGTCTCTCTCTCTCTCTGGTCTCTCTCTCTCTCTGGTCTCTCTCTCTCTCTGGTCTCTCTCTCTCTGGTCTCTCTCTCTCTCTGGTCTCTCTCTCTCTGGTCTCTCTCTCTCTCTCTGGTCTCTCTCTCTCTGGTCTCTCTCTCTCTCTGGTCTCTCTCTCTCTCTGGTCTCTCTCTCTCTGGTCTCTCTCTCTCTCTGGTCTCTCTCTCTCTCTGGTCTCTCTCTCTCTCTGGTCTCTCTCTCTCTCTGGTCTCTCTCTCTCTGGTCTCTCTCTGGCCTCACTCTGGTCTCTCTCCAGCCTCTCTCTCCAGCCTCTCTCTCTGATCTCTCTCTCTGGTCTCTCTCTCTGGTCTCTCTCTCTCTGGTCTCTCTCTCTCTGGTCTCTCTCTCTCTGGTCTCTCTCTCTCTCTGGTCTCTCTCTCTCTCTGGTCTCTCTCTCTCTCTGGTCTCTCTCTCTCTGGTCTCTCTCTCTCTCTCTGGTCTCTCTCTCTCTGGTTTCTCTCTCTCTCTGGTCTCTCTCTCTCTCTGGTCTCTCTCTCTCTCTCTGGTCTCTCTCTCTCTCTCTCTGGTCTCTCTCTCTCTCTCTGGTCTCTCTCTCTCTCTCTGGTCTCTCTCTCTCTCTCTGGTCTCTCTCTCTCTCTCTGGTCTCTCTCTCTCTCTCTGGTCTCTCTCTCTCTCTCTGGTCTCTCTCTCTCTCTCTGGTCTCTCTCTCTCTCTGGTCTCTCTCTCTCTGGTCTCTCTCTCTCTCTGGTCTCTCTCTCTCTGGTCTCTCTCTCTCTGGTCTCTCTCTGGCCTCACTCTGGTCTCTCTCGTGTCTCTCTCTCTGGTCTCTCACTGGTCTTTGGTCTCTCTGGTCTCTCTCTGGCCTCTCTGGTCTCTCTCTCTTGTCTCTCTTGTCTCTCTCTCTTGTCTCTCTCTCTGGTCTCTCTCTCTGGTCTCTCTCTCTGGCCTCTCTCTCTGGTCTCTCTCTCTGGTCTCTCTCTCTGGTCTCTCTCTGGTCTCTCTCTCTGGCCTCTCTCTCTGGCCTCTCTCTCTCTGGCCTCTCTCTCTGGCCTCTCTCTCTGGCCTCTCTCTCTGGCCTCTCTCTCTGGCCTCTCTCTCTGGTCTCTCTCTCTGGTCTCTCTCTCTGGTCTCTCTCTCTGGTCTCTCTCTCTGGTCTCTCTCTGGTCTCTCTCTGGCCTCTCTCTCTGGCCTCTCTCTCTGGCCTCTCTCTCTGGCCTCTCTCTCTGGCCTCTCTCTCTGGCCTCTCTCTCTGGTGGAAGCTGAAGGTTGGAGACCCCTGACTTATGCAATACTATTTAGCTTATGTTGCAGATTTTCTGTGTAGCGAACTAATTGCAAAATAACAAATGAATGATGATAATTTTGCCGTTTCGGGAGAGGACACTACATCATTTAGTTTTTTAACTGGACTTTGATGTTAGTAGTTGTGACAGTGTTTGCTGACTACAAACAGACACTCTGGTATCAGCAGTTTTTAAACATTGTGTCCTATAATATGACCTATAATCCAAAGTTTTATCATTTATACAGTTGCATATTTATTCAAATTGAGATAATTTGGTGAAGTTGTTCAGCTATGTTTTGTGTGGCACTTTACATTATCTTAAATGTCACTTCTCTGATAAAGTGAGAGGGTTGTTCAGGAAAAGGCTCAAGTTCCTCTGATTTCCCTGTGCTTGCACTTCTGTCGCTTCCTGTTGTTTGCCACTTGTATCTCCACTTCTCTGCTTTCAACTCATTTTGATTTTTGACATGCAGGAGAACCGCCAGTTTGGATCGAAGATGACGGACTCCAAGTATTTCACCACCACCAAGAAAGGTCAGTGTCAAGAGTCCAATGATTGATGGGTTACAAATTCTCAACTTTTGTCAAAATTGCAGATGTTACATTTTGACTGTAAGAGTTTGAATGAGTATCTAATTACTACTAAACTACTCGCACTCACTGTTTTGCAAAAAATCTCTAAACATTATAGAGATTTATTTTATTTTGGCTCAAACAAACTGCTTAGAGGATCTCGATCTTCCCACCTGCTCGTCTTTAAGGAGATTAACTCCAGTGTTTGTTGCTGCTGAAGAAAGTGCACACAAATCTAAGCCAGAAATTGTCTTCACTGTTTATGGAAAAATCAAACATAACCAAAAGGATACGTCAAAACTTCTCATACTACGTTCTATTGTTACATAAACACATATTTGTACTTGATAAGAGATAATGTGCAACGAGAACAGTGTCACAAATTTTTTTTAATCTATTGGCACAATATCTCTGTCCTAAAAATAATAATAAAGGCTTATTCTCACACAGCAAAAAACTGAGACAAAGTTCCTTCAAATATATATACAAAAACTAAAAGCACCAAAATATATACATATTAGATGCTTTCGCAGCTTTAATTAAAAAATCATTATAGAGACTTGACTCACATTATCAGGAAGACTGTCCCTGAGTCATGTGTGCTTCTTTACTTCCTGAGGTGCTGAGGTGACATTTTGTTTCAGTCAGGAGTCAACGCAAATGTGCAGGGACAGACAAATATGCAAGAATAAAATACAGCTTTGAGTAAGATTTATTTAATGACAACAGTTGTAAGGAAAGAAACACTTCAGAAATGGGCATTTTAAATTATATGAATATAAAGTCATTTTTAGTTTCTGTCTGTTGGCATGTCTGAGTTTTATGAGCTGTGGTGTTTGTTGTGGCGCAGGGGAGATCTTCGAGCTGAAGGCAGAGCTCAACAGTGACAAGAAGGAGAAGAAGAAGGAGGCGGTGAAGAAGGTGATCGCCTCCATGACTGTGGGGAAGGACGTGAGGTGAGACCAGGACATGTCCAATATGATCTCCAACTGTTAAGAGAACTTTACACAGTATATGTTGATCAATTTTTTGTTTTATTAAAGTGTTTTTAGCTTAATCCATGCCTCTTTCAGGAACCAGCACACACGTGTTCCCTTTGCCTCCCAGAACGCTCCATTTTGAATCCATCATATACAGAGCTTTGCAAGATCATGAATCCTTTTGAAGCTAATAAAACTATTCTCTCCCCTCACCAGCGCCCTTTTCCCTGATGTGGTCAACTGTATGCAGACAGACAATCTGGAGCTGAAGAAACTGGTCTACCTCTACCTCATGAACTACGCCAAGAGCCAGCCTGACATGGCCATCATGGCTGTCAACACCTTTGTGAAGGTGATCAATTCTTTAATATAGTGCGAAAAACAACAAGGCCTCAACATTGCCAATGTGTTTTACGATTCTACTTATTGATTCACTTTGAGTGCTGTCTTCCAAAATATCACCACATAACTTTCAGTACAACAGTGTTACAGCTCTGTTGTGAGGGCCGGATGGTTTCTCCGACTGTTTGACAAACACCAGCGTTTGTCATTCCATGAAAAGAAATAAGAAATAGGCCTCACAGGTGTTTCTTAAATACTACCAGTGACACAATTCAAGGAGTAGACACAAAAGAAATTGCACATCACAAAGAGCAACAAGAATGTAGCGCAATATTATCTTCCTCGAGTGGTTTCAGTTTGAACAGTTTTATCTTGTGCCACAAGCTGTGCCTCAAATGTTTTGTACAGCCCAAAACATTGGAAAACACTGTTCTAATGTTAATCTATTGTATCGAGTTATTTGTCCAACAAAGACATGAAACAAGGGCTTCTTTTGTCGAGAAGATCATTTAAATACTTGTAACTGTGTGCCTGTTGTTGCCAGGACTGTGAGGACCCTAACCCTCTGATCCGCGCCCTGGCTGTGCGCACCATGGGCTGCATCCGCGTGGATAAGATCACAGAGTATCTGTGTGAGCCGCTGCGGAAGTGTCTGAAGGACGAGGACCCGTACGTGAGGAAGACCGCTGCTGTGTGTGTCGCCAAACTGCACGACATCAACGCGCAGCTGGTGGAGGACCAGGGCTTCCTCGACACGCTCAAGGACCTCATCTCTGACTCCAACCCCATGGTGCAGGATTAGCTTTAACAGCTTTTTCTACTGTTCTCATTTTGACTTGTTCTGGCAGAATACTACTGTGGTGAAAGGCAATAGTTTCAGGGGGAAAAATGACATTTGATTCTTGTGTGCGGCGTGTCGATCAGTTCAGAAAACAGGAGTAGTCCTCAGTCCCGCTCCTTCCTCTCAGTGCGGCGTCCTCTGCAGCTGTATTTTACAGTGTATGCACGGCTTTTGACAGCTGTAGGAGCGTTCAGACCAAGCCCTGGTGATCCAAGATGGCGCCCTCTTCAAATGAATGGCTTCTGCTCAGTAGTTCATGGGACTTCACGGAGACCGGGAGATTAGCTGAACTCGTCTATATTTGGGCATCGTCTGGTCCTCCCGGTTCTGTGCAGTGGACGAGCTCCCATGATGCTTTGCACCAAATAGGTGTGGCTCTCATGCACGTGCACAGAGGGGCTCGGCCGCGCTCTGACCAATCAGAGCTGATCAGAACAGCAGCAGAGCGGAGTCAGAGCGGGAAGGAAAGGAGCAGAGTTTGTGGCAGTAAAGTGTGGATTTAAAGAAAACCGAAGGATTTAAGAAGAAAAAAAGTTCAGGATGACAAGGGACAGTAAAATCCCCACAAAATCCGACCTTAATGAAAGCTGTAGGTTCTGTCAGCTGAGGTCGAGCTGTTTTAGTTTACATTGAGATCTATGGGACTTTTTTCTGGGTAGCCCATGTGAATTTATTCTGCAGTACCACAGCACCCCCTGTGCCCATGGGTGGGACAGCTATAAGCTAGTAATACCCTATCCAGATATTATTATAGATCCATGGTTCAGACCTATGATGAACTATCACCTCTGAAATTAAGCAGGACATGGCCTGTTTAGTTTTGTGATGGGAGACCTCTGGAAACAATATGCCACAGTGGGTACAGGGCTGAACTGTCCTTGTGTCCTCAGGCAAGACACTTTACCCACAATACCTAGTGTTAGTGAATGGCTGTGAGCAGACGGGCTGATGACACATACTGGTTGCCTCGCTTCTGTCAGTGTCTGTGGCTACAGTAGTAGCTCATCACCACTCTGTATGGAGTGAATGAATAATGAAATGTGAAGCATCTTTGAGTGTAACCTTAACCGCACTTCAGCAGTGAGTTCAGGTGGTTAGAAAAGCGTATAAAGAGATTTAGTGAGGGCTTGAAACACATAGCTACTACTTTGCGAATATTTCGCTTATTGCTTGTTATTAGAATGTAACCTCACTGTAAACGATATAATAGGAATTCATACTAACCCTATTTTGTGACTATTCAAAAATGTACTGACAACATTCAATAAGCCAAACAGATTTCTCTAACATGCTTGCATACGTTCGTCAGGTGGTGGCCAACGCGGTGGCAGCTCTGTCGGAGATTGCAGAGTCTCATCCAAACAGTAACCTGCTGGACCTGAACCCTCAGACCATCAACAAGCTGCTGACCGCTCTGAACGAATGCACAGAGTGGGGCCAGATCTTCATCCTGGACTGTTTGGCTAATTACACTCCACGAGACGACCGCGAGTCTCAGAGGTAACAGCCACCATGCTCCTGCTGACTATTAAGATGAGATAAACTTATATTCTTCCCTCAGTGGGAAATTTTAATGTAATTGTTACAACAGAATAAAAGTCTAAATTAAGGGCACAACAGGATGTATTATTTAAGATAATAACATAAAACTGGTTCAAGGATAAGTCACTTGTGGAGCATACGCTGTAGTAAGCAGCATCATGCGGTATTTACAGATGTTTATATTGTACTTTAGCAGCAGAGAATATGACCAGAGTAAACAATAGTAGTAGTAATAATAGAAACATCCATCCATCCATCCATCCATTTTCTTCCGCTTTATCCGTTGCCGGGTCGCGGGGGCAGTAGTCTAAGCAGAGACGCCCAGACTTCCCTATCCACACACACCTCCTCCAGCTCGTCCGGGAGGACCCCTAGGCGTTCCCAGGCCAGCTGAGAGACATAGTCTCTCCAGCGTGTCCTGGGTCTTCCCCGGGGCCTCCTCCCGGTGGGACGTGCCCGGAACACCTCCCCAGGAAGGCGTCCAGGAGGCATCCTGAACAGATGCCCGAGCCACCTCAACTGGTTCCTCTCGACGTGGAGAAGCAGCGGCTCTACTCCGAGCTCCTCCCGTGTGACCGAGCTCCTCACCCTATCTCTAAGGGAGCGCCCAGCCACTCTGCGGAGGAAGCTCATTTCGACCGCTTGTATCCGCGATCTCGTTCTTTCGGTCATTACCCACAGCTCATGACCATAGGTGAGGGAGGGAACGAAGATTGACCGGTAAATTGAGAGCTTTGCCTTTCGGCTCAGCTCCCTCTTTACCACAACGGTCCGATACAGAGACCGCATCACTGCGCACGCTGCACCGATCCGCCTGTCAATCTCACGCTCCATCCTCCCCTCACTCGTGAACAAGACCCCGAGATACTTGAACTCCTCCACTTGAGGAAGGACCTCTCCACCCACCTGGAGAGGGCAAGGCACCTTTTTCCGGTCGAGCACCATGGCCTCGGATTTGGAGGTGCTGATTCTCATCCCAGCCGCTTCACACTCGGCTGCAAACCGTCCCAGTGCATGTTGCAGGTCCTGGTTCGTTGGAGCCAGCAGGACGACATCATCCGCAAAAAGTAGAGATGAAATCCTGTGGTTCCCGAACCGGACCCCCTCCGGCCCCTGGCTGCGCCTAGAGATTCTGTCCATAAATACAGTGAACAGAACCGGTGACAAAGGGCAGCCTTGGCGGAGGCCAACATGCACCGGGAACAGGTCTGACTTACTGCCGGCAATGCGAACACAGCTCTGGCTCCGGTCATACAGGGACCGAACAGCCCTCAGCAGAGGACCCCGGACCCCGTACTCCCGGAGGACCCCCCAAAGGACACCCCGGGGAACACGGTCGAACGCCTTCTCCAAATCCACAAAGCACATGTGGACAGGTTGGGCGAACTCCCATGAACCCTCGAGTATCCGATGGAGAGTATAGAGCTGGTCCAGTGTTCCGCGACCGGGACGAAAACCACACTGCTCCTCCTGAATCCGAGATTCGACCATCGGACGTAGCCTCCTCTCCAGTACCTTGGAGTAGACCTTACCGGGGAGGCTGAGGAGTGTGATCCCACGATAATTGGAACACACCCTCCGGTCCCCCTTCTTGTAGAGAGGGACCACCCCGGTCTGCCACTCCATTGGCACCGCCCCCGATCGCCACGCGATGTTGCAGAGACGTGTCAGCCAAGACAGTCCTACAACATCCAGAGACTTTAGATAGTCAGGACGGATCTCATCCACTCCCGGCGCCTTGCCACCATGGAGGCTGCCAACCACCTTGGTGACCTCGGCCAGGGAGATGGATGTACCCGCCCCAACATCCTCAGCCTCTGCCTCTGTAACAGAGGACGTGACGGGGGGATTGAGGAGAACCTCGAAGTATTCCTTCCACCGCCCGACAATATCCCCAGTCGAGGTCAGCAGCCCTCCACCCGCACCATACACAGTGTTGGCAAAGAACTGCTTCCCCCTCCTGAGGCGCCGGACGGTTTGCCAGAACCTCTTCGAGGCCGACCGATAGTCATGCTCCATGGACTCTCCGAACTTCTCCCAGTCCCGGGTTTTTGCCTCTGCAACACCCCGGGCCGCGGCACGTTTGGCCTGCCGGTACTGGACAGCTGCCTCAGGAGTCCCACGAACCATCATTGCTCGATAGGACTCCTTCTTCAGCCTGACGGCATCCCTTACTGTCGGTGTCCACCACCGGGTTCGGGGATTGCCGCCGGGACCAGCACCAGAGACCTTGCGACCACAGCTACGAGCCGCCGCATTGGCGATAGAGGAAGAGAACATGGTCCACTCGGACTCGATGTCCCCCTCCTCTGCCGGGACCTGGGAGAAGCTCTCCCGGAGGTGTGAGTTGAAAGTCCGTCTGACAGGGGGCTCACCAAGACGTTCCCAGCAAACCCTCACTACACGCTTGGGCCTGCCAGGTCTGACCGGCCTCCTGCCCTGCCAGCGGATCCAACTCACGACCAGGTGATGATCGGTTGACAGCTCCGCCCCTCTCTTCACCCGAGTGTCCGAGACACGCGGTCGAAGGTCAGATGATACGACTACAAAGTCGATCATCGACCTCCGGCCTAGGGTGTCCTGGTGCCACGTGCACTGATGGACACCCTTGTGCTCGAACATGGTGTTCGTGAACCTGTGGCTGGCGCAGAAGTCCAACAACTGAACACCGCTCGGGTTCAGATCAGGGGGGCCGCTCTTCCTGATCACCCCTCTCCAAGTGTCACTGGCATTTCCCACATGGGCGTTGAAGTCCCCCAGGAGAATAACGGAGTCCCCGGGTGGTGCACTGTCCAGTACCCCTCCCAAGGACTCCAAGAAGGCCGGGTACTCTGCACTACCGTTAGGCCCGTAGGCCGTCACAACAGTGAGAGACTTGTCCCCCACCCGGAGGCGGAGGGACGCGACCCTCTCATTCACCGGGGAGAACTCCAACATGTGGCGGCTGAGATGGGGGGCAATGAGTATGGCCACCCCAGCTCGCCGCCTCTCCCCGCGGGAAACACCAGAAAAGTGGAGCGTCCAACCCCTCTCAAGGAGTTGGGTTCCAGAGCCCAAGCTGTGTGTGGAGGTGAGGCCGACTATCTCTAGTCGGTATCGCTCAACCTCCCCCACAAGCTCGGGCTCCTTCCCCCCCAGTGAGGTGACGTTCCACGTCCCAAGAGCCAGATGTTGGGTGTGTGGACTGGGTCGCCGAGGTCTCCGCCTTCGACTGCTGCCCAGTCCTCTCTGCACCTCGCCACCACGGACCCCTCTGCAGGTGGTGAGCCCACAGGAGGAATAGAAACAGGTAAAGGTAAAGTGACTAGTGGATTATCAGAACAGGTGAATGGCACATTTAATCAGTGTCATGTTATTTTTTCCATGTGTTTAACCATCTATCCATTATTGAATGACAGATGAATAGTAACTATGACAACGAGCACATTCATGTACTATTAGTTTTCTGACGTCGACTTCTCCTCTCGCCCCGCAGCATCTGTGAACGAGTGACGCCGCGGCTCTCCCACGCCAACTCTGCTGTGGTGCTGTCGGCCGTCAAAGTGCTCATGAAGTTTATGGAGATGCTGCCCAAGGACCTGGACTACTACGGGACGCTGCTGAAGAAACTGGCCCCTCCCCTGGTGACGCTGCTGTCCGCGGAGCCAGAGCTGCAGTACGTGGCCCTGAGGAACATCAACCTTATTGTGCAGAGACGGTGAGTGAGCACAGGACCATCCCCAGGAGAAGAGTCTCGGAGGCCGGGTCGTACCACACCTTAGTACAAATTACATTTGGTACTAAGGTCTGGATTGACTTCATTGAGCTCCGTTTACAGGTGGGAGGGGTTAACTCCTTTTGCAGATTGAAACGATTGGATCTGAGTTTACTGTGACGTATGTAATGCGCCCGAGTGAGTCGTTAGCATTTAGCATTTAGCCTAGCCATCTCCTTTTGCCAGCGATTTCATTTGCTAAACATTCCTCTTGCTCCGGCTTCAATTTCTTGATAGAACCCGACCAGATTACTTTACTATTGAATTTTTCGCCATTGCCAAACTACAACCTTCCCGTTCGACGCAAACTCTTGACGTCACCGGCACCGATCTACAACACCGCCTTCCGTGCTCTCTGATTGGTCGGTCGAAATTCAAGCGTTTGTAATCGCTAAAACAGGAACCAGACCCAGACGTTACATGCAGTGAAATTATGATTGACCGGAGTGTACGGATGGATGGATAAGACCAGGCTAGGTTTGGTCATTTTTGGGTAGATATTATTTTTGTACAGCCCTAAAGCAATCAAATCAAATCATTACATTCCACCTCCAGGCCTTTTTGTGTGAAGTTTGCATGTTCTCCCCTTGTCTGCTCAACTCACTACAAGTAAATGCAGTTAACTATAGATAATCAAAAGATGCAAAACGATAACGAGTTAAAAAGCAAACGTTATCTAAAGAAAACAATGGAGATCTTGGTATAATTGTCGGACCAGAACGAGATTGACCCCTGTCTCTTTTGTGTCTATTTTGTGGACTAGAAAATTGTATCTACGCTAAAAAGTCAGTAGAGGGTGCAAGTGAATCAGGCTTATAGTGAACTGCTCTGGAACATCATGAATAGCCGCCATTTCTTTCACGTTTTCGTTTCACATTTAAACCAGTATCATCAGCTGTAAGTGGTGCTGATGTTTTGTGGTTTCAGGCCAGAGATTCTGAAACACGAGATGAAAGTTTTCTTCGTCAAGTACAATGACCCCATTTATGTCAAACTGGAGAAGCTGGACATCATGATTCGACTGGCCTCTCAGGCTAATATTGCTCAGGTATTTCGATTATATCATTTCTTACAAGCTGATTTATTGTTCTTCTGTAGCAAAGTGTGTGTTGATGCTGCAGGTGCTGGCAGAGCTGAAGGAGTACGCAACTGAGGTGGACGTGGACTTTGTCAGAAAAGCTGTCAGAGCCATCGGCCGCTGCGCCATTAAAGTGGAGGTAAACTCTGCAAGCGTCTTCATGTCTTTTCCCTTTGTCCGTTCTGTTTTTCCAACCAGAATAATGTGTTGTATTCTGTGAAGTTTGCGAGACACTTCGAACTTGGAAAATTGTTTCAAACACGAAACTAATATATAATGGACACTGACTGGACACACGTTGAGATTTATCAAGCCTTAATTTGTGTTACGGCTCACGGCTTATAAACCACCAAATAAAACTTCCCAGAATATTAGAATATTGTCAAAAGGCTTCCAGTATGTTGCATATGTTTTGCCTGAGAGTCTATATCATCAACAAACTTTTGTATTACAGACTCGAGGTCCAGGACAAACACATCACATACAATCCTCATATCATAATTGAATTTCATATTTTAAGTTGAATTATAGAAATATACTTATTCTCTCTTTTAAACTATTCAAATTTGAACTAATATGCACTAACTAATATAATAATTAGTTAATGCATTAGTTTAGGAAGTTCTGAATCCGAGTGGTCTGTGATTAAAACCATTTACTGTCTAGTATTGACCTAGAATGTCGTCGTTTCTTGCAGGAATAATAAATGTTGGGCCGTTTTGTTAAACCTTGGCTGTGATTTGTCAAGGGAAGGATCAAAAGCTTCACTGGTTCTTATCTAGTATCCGTAGATGATGTTTTGCACATGAAAAAGCTGGGGCTATTGCACGGATGTCTCTTTGGGCTGAGAGATGTATATTAGTGCTGTTCTTTTTAAATCATTTACTAATTGAATTTGAGTCTGAAATTAAGATTACAAATAAGAATAAATCTAATGTTGTATAAGCAAATGTATCCTAGAAAAAACTGCATCTAGAAACCGATGTAGGTATTTATTATTGACTCCCTGCAGAATGAGGCTTTCTGTTTTCAGTGTCAGGTTTGAACATTGAAAACCTACTGTTTACTAATCTCTTTGAAGTAACATTTCCATAACATCCCGTTTCCTCATGTGTGTGTGTGTGTGTGTGTTTTGCAGCAATCGGCAGAGCGATGTGTGAGCACGCTGTTGGACCTGATCCAGACCAAGGTCAACTACGTGGTGCAGGAAGCCATTGTCGTCATCAAGGACATCTTCCGCAAATATCCCAACAAGTAAGAACGAGCTAACGTCAGAGGCGCTGCTTGTGTTAGCGCTGTGCCATTCCTCAGTCTGGCGCCACACTTCACTGATGCTAAGTGCACCATCAGGCCGGGCTCCTTAATGAAGTTTATGCTAATGCTTACGTCCAACCACTTTGCATTTGCAGAACCCGGCTGACAGGTTTGTTCAAGTGCAAGTGAAGATGTCAAAGAAAATAACACAATTTGACCCTTTTAAAGAACACCGTATGTAAAATGGACACGTTACAACAATTCAATTTGTTTTTGTGTCGCCGTAAATCGCAACAGCAGTCGTCTTGGTGTGTCGCCTACACAGGGACAGAGAATGGAACAGTTGGAACAAAGGAGATGCAATAATAACAATACACATGCATGGGAGTCGCTGTTGCGTCTCTTAGTTCTTCAAGGTCGCCGGAATTGCGCAACAGGTCGACGGAAAAAACTTTTGAACTCACAGGTTACATGCTGTTTCTTGAGCTGCTTTAAGAGGAGTGCCCTTTAAAGCAGCACGGACAAGCGTTCATTAAAGATTCTCTTATTTTTCGAAAATAATTCACAAAAATATCTTCTGCATATCTTCTGCATGCTGGTCAGGAAGAGCCCTTTGAGTCACTAATGGATGCTTTGGGCCTAGAACTGAGTGAAGGTGGTTTTCTATTTTCCACTTTTCCGTCTGAAAAAGCTGATCCAAAGATATGCCAGAGACCAAAAACACAAGTTGGACTCCAGCTTTAAATCTGGCATTGTTCCTGATAAGAACTTTTTATTTTTTGCATGCTCATTTTAACCTATTTCCAGCCCCAAGATGCATTCAACTGAAGTCTTTTTTTTTTTTTTTTTCATATGGGATAAAGGCTGTAACAGTTTTAAGTCGACTACACGTGAAAACCATATGATTCAAACGACCCGCTGTCTCTGGCTTCCTCCGCTCAGGTACGAGAGTGTGATCGCCACGCTGTGTGAGAACCTGGACTCCCTGGACGAACCCGAGGCCCGCGCTGCCATGATCTGGATCGTGGGGGAGTACGCGGAGAGGATCGACAACGCAGACGAGCTGCTGGAGAGCTTCCTGGAGGGCTTCCACGACGAGAGCACGCAGGTAGGACAGTGCAGTCTGGTGTTGTAGCCCAAAGGTAATTTGAGTTGGCAATTTAGTGAGTCGTTATGAGAGGAAAACACGCACCATCTTCCGCTTTTCACGCTGTTTCGGTAAAAATACACACATAAAACCCTTAGATTTGACGCTTAAGCTACATACAAACTGTTTATAGACGATGGTTTGCCGACCTGTCCAAGTAACTCCTGTTCTGCAATGTTTAACTTTACTGTAGTCACTGGAGTTTTAGTAATGTCACAATTTCAAACTTTAAATCCACCGTAATATCTGTTGTAAAATATATTTGCTCACTATATTGGGGTGTTTTAGTATATAGACTATATTTTTGGAATACTTCTTCTTATAGGTCATTGTTCTTAAATCTCAAGACAATATTTTGTTTAGTTAATCTGACCGACCAAACTCTAAAGGTCACATAAACCAGGTTAGGACACCCCCGGACATAACACACACATTATATTGATTTTTTTATAAACTGTTTAATTACAATGTATTTTATAATGCAATTCTGAACTTGATGTTTCCAAATAAATATGAATAATTAAATAAATATAATAACAATGATTATATGATTAATTTCTTCACCCTTCAAAAAGTTTGACTTAATTTTGTATTGAATTTATACAACTTTTCATGTCTCCGTATTTCCCACCCTGACATAATCGTTATCCTTTATGTATGATCTATGAGTGTTTTATGTTCTGATTAATGACGATTCCAGTTGAAGTGAATACTTTTGGTGTCTCAGGTGCAGCTGCAGTTGCTGACGGGAATCGTGAAGCTGTTCCTGAAGAAGCCAACAGAGACACAGGAGCTGGTGCAGCAGGTGCTCAGTCTGGCCACTCAGGTGAGACCAGCTCCAGGGAGACAGACACTGTTTTCCATGATTTAGTGGGACTTTCTGAAAACTGCATGCTTCAGTTGGATTAGTTAGAAGATAATGTGGATGGATCAAATGCAGAGGACGAATCAGGGACGGTAAAGAAGGTATACATAACTTTAAATCTGGGTTACCTAACTTTCAAACCACAACAATTGTAATGAAATCCATCCGAGTTCATCGCAAGAGAGCAGAGTCCGTCACTCAGCCAATCAGCTTTCAGCCAATCAGCTTTCAGCCAATCAGCTTTCAGCCAATCAGCTTTCAGCCAATCAGCTTTCAGCCAATCAGCTTTCAGCCAATCAGCTTTCAGCCAATCAGCTTTCAGCCAATCAGCTTTCAGCCAATCAGCTTTCAGCCAATCAGCTTTCAGCCAATCAGCTTTCAGCCAATCAGCTTTCAGCCAATCAGCTTTCAGCCAATCAGCTTTCAGCCAATCAGCTTTCAGCCAATCAGCTTTCAGCCAATCAGCTTTCAGCCAATCAGCTTTCAGCCAATCAGCTTTCAGCCAATCAGCTTTCAGCCAATCAGCTTTCAGCCAATCAGCTTTCAGCCAATCAGCTTTCAGCCATCAGCTTTCAGCCAATCAGCTTTCAGCCAATCAGCTTTCAGCCAATCAGCTTTCAGCCAATCAGCTTTCAGCCAATCAGCTTTCAGCCAATCAGCTTTCAGCCAATCAGCTTTCAGCAATCAGCTTTCAGCAATCAGCTTTCAGCCAATCAGCTTTCAGCCAATCAGCTTTCAGCCAATCAGCTTTCAGCCAATCAGCTTTCAGCCAATCAGCTTTCAGCCAATCAGCTTTCAGCCAATCAGCTTTCAGCCAATCAGCTTTCAGCCAATCAGCTTTCAGCCAATCAGCTTTCAGCCAATCAGCTTTCAGCCCACGTTTTACAATAGGAAAACAATGATGTGGTATCATTTGTTCACAACGTTTTTAGTCTCTTTCTGTTGGGACAAATCAAAACGTATTTACGGGGGAAATATGTTTAACCTTAACCTTTCCCACTTCTACTATAAATGGGCAACATTTACTCATTCTGACTCTTTCGCTATGTCTATATATTTTCTACCAGAGAAATGTAAAATAAAGTAAATATTCTCACAATCATATTTCAAGACCTACATATATAACATTTAAAGCATGGTGTTTCTTCTTTGAGGGTGTAGAGTAGGTGTAGCTATATTTACAGTCATGCTAACATGCTAACTGATTGTGTGTCCAGGACTCTGACAACCCAGACCTGAGAGACCGCGGCTACATCTACTGGCGCCTGTTGTCCACTGACCCGGTGGCGGCTAAAGAGGTGGTGCTGGCGGAGAAGCCCCTGATCTCAGAGGAGACCGACCTCATCGAGCCCACGCTGCTGGAGGAGCTCATCTGCCACATTGGAACCCTGGCCTCGGTCTACCACAAGCCCCCCAGCGCCTTCGTGGAGGGCAGCCGCGGCGTGCAGCACAAGAGGCTCCCGGGCAGCGCTGGATCGTTAGTATTGGTCTTTACTATGGAACAGGGCAGGCAGGGGTTACACCAAAGAAAAGTGGGATCCAGCTCCAGCAGATTTTGTTCCTGTAAAATGTCATGTGTTTTGCTTCATCCACCTCCCTTGCGTTTATGCATTTATGTGATAGAAATGTACAACTTCTTCATGAGTATTTCATTCCACACAAAAGACACAGTGACAATGGATCAAAATATCTATGTATGCAGTATATAAATGCATGCGTTTTGGGTTGGCTTTAACAGCACCAAAAGCCAAGGCCAAAGAAACCTTGTTAAATTGAGATTACTTGGCAGTTTACACATACTTCATTGACCTTAAGAAGATGAACTGTGGCCACTTCTCACTTTTTTAAATAATGGATTAGAATCTGTTTCTTAATATTGATATAAGTTAATTTAATCAATACACAAAGGATTTTGTAATATGGCTCTTAGAACTCAAAGTATATGGAGAGATGGAGTCCTTGGGTAAAATGGATATAAGCGTACAAGATTAACTAGTTTTCACTTTTTGTTCAAATTTTTTTTAAGATTGAGAGATACCTTATTCAGAACGGTAGGAATGAGGAGCACACAATACAAGATGAGTAAGTTATAATGGTGCTTTCTAGTGGGACATGCACAGGACATGTGACGTAGGTGGAGGTGGTTACCATAGCAACCACAAAGCAAAGTCTCATTTATAGAACGATGAGAAGTGAAACATGTGGGACGTAAACGATCTCAATCTTGATCTTAATCTTAAATATGAGAGGAACCTATTATTACCTATGTTTGTGGATAAATTGCAATTGAGTTCAATTAGATCTCATTACTTTCTGTATATTATCCTTTTGTGTCTAACTCTTGACTTAAATGAAACTACATATATATATATAATTACCAGGGGTTTTGTCCCACCAAGAAAACTTATAAAAATGTAACCTGTTGCATATTGTATAGTTATTCTCGTGTGTCCATGTGCTGCCCAGTGGAGAGAGTGTGGAGAGCCCAGAGCCGGCCACAGCGGCGGTGCCCGAGACCACACCCTCTGTCATTCCCTCTCAAGAAGACCTCCTTGGAGACCTGCTGAACCTGGACCTGACTCCTCCCACCACCACCGGCCCACCGCCCCCCTCCTCCGGCCTGGTGATGGGAGCCATGGACCTGCTGGGCGGAGGTCTGGACAGCCTGGTATGTCCCACACACACACATCCACAGACACACACACACACACACACACATGGGCACAGCCAGAAGTATCCAATTAAATCCAATATGGCTTGACTCTGGGGCGTTGATTGTGTTTTTCTTTGACACTTCTCTCCTCTGTTCGCTGCTGCTGCTGCAGATGGGGGATGATGCTGAGTTGGTAACTACATGTCGAAGTTTAGACTTGAGTAGTAACGCGATATAGTTGCGTAGTCACTGTACAACAATCAGTCCCTCTATATAGACACTGATGAATTTACCCAATACTGAGATTAGGAAGTTTATTTATTTCTGTAATTTAACTTAAAATGTTAAACCAGTAAATGATAGACTTATTATAACCTTTTATCTGTTATAATGTTGACGATTTTTGGCCTAAAGTTCATTGTCAAAATATACTAATGTTTGGATACAATTTATTTTTTACTACTTGTGAGCTAATTATCAAATAAGCCAAGATATATGCCACTTTTGTGTTCCGAGTCATATATTAGCCTCGTGTTGTTAAATTACATAAGCGATTTTCACCTGTATACTTATATGTTACAACACGGTTTCATACTTGTAATAATTATTCTCAGGAAGCGTTCACATTTGGTTCCATTTGAAGTTCACTTTGGGCTTTTATTACACTTGTTTATGGAGATGTGAACGCAACAAAACCAGAGCGGACCCCTGATTCTCACCTCAGTTAACTCCCCTCATTGGAAACAAACCAGTGAAGTGCATGTGTTTTGTGTCAAGCATCGAGCGGACACCCCTCAGTCACGTCAGCATCAGTCTCCCTCACCCCCTGAATTCACCCAGGTTCGTCAGGACCACACTGCAAAACATGTCACCTAATGAGCCAATAAGTGCTTGGAATCAGAAAGTAGCAGGAGCATGGAGTGAGTTCTCAGCCAAGCGCACCGTGAGTGTGTTGACAAAAGTGAAAACAGAATCCAATTTGATAAAGGCTCACATAAACTCCAGCGTGCCATTTGAGGAGTGAAAAACCAGTCTGTTCTGAGGTTTCATTCTCGGGTCTTCTGTGAGTTTGATTAGAATTGTTATTGTCTATAAGCGCAACAAAAAGAGACCAGATTTCACTGAATAAAAATCAAACAGACTACTCATTTCAAGCACTTATTTGAATCATATTTAACGCCGTAGCCAGATTCAAACTAGACTCCCAGTGATGTCCCGTGTAGTTTTCCCCCTTATATAACTCTACCTACTGAAGTGTTCTTTGTGTCTGTGAAGTTTATCCAGGACCTCTTGTTGTAAAGTTCCACATTCAACCGATATATCCTACAATTATTGGGCTAACGTTGTTGAAAAAGTGCCCCCTTTTATAAACGAAGGATCCGCAAATAGGGCTGCGGCAAAGGTCAGTTTCAACACGGACCATAACGGTGTGAAAGGCCAAAGAAAAATAACAATAATGCATCGTTTTTTTGTAGCGCTTTTTAGGACAATCAAAGAACTAAAAAGAGTTACTTGGTCAGGAAAGGAGTGTTGGAGTGTCGGCTGTAGGCCTGGTCGTTCATGTTCGCTGCAATATCGATATAGTTTCGAGAGACAGAAATACCGCAACAGCATTTGTTAGGGCTGGGCGATAAAACGATAACGATATATATTGCGATAGACACGATATCAATAGAAAATAGGGTCGATAGAATGTTTGATAGTTTAACTTCACTCTGTTAGAAAAAACAGGAAGTAAAGCCAAGTCAGAAGCGCGCAGCATTCTGGGGGATGTGGGCAGTCTTCTCGACCTATCACAGCAGACCACAAACGCAAAACATTCTGGGAAATGCAAAAACAACAACCGCACCATTCGGTGAAAGCAAGAGATTAATTTTTTTCCTCTGGAAGCACATGCAGCTATCAGAACAGCACGGAGCCGTCATGGGGACACTAGACACTCACAGCCAAAACAGGAGCTAAACCAGGACTAAACCAGGACTAACTATGGGGGAGACTGCTTGTGAACATATGCCTCCAGCCTCATTCCCCCGTAACTGTAGCCAACACCAAATGTATTTATTTAGGTTAAAAAAACAAACAAAAAACAATCAGTATATCGTTATCAACCGATATGAATTACTTATATTGTGATATAGTTTTCAGCCATATCGCCCAGCCCTAGCATTTGTATATATTTGCTGTGATCCTACCTGCCGTTAAGAAAAGCAGGGACCGAAACTGATGACCTCACAAAAAAAATCTCCTGAAAGTCAAGATGTGCAAATTGTCACCCGAGTCTCACCAGTGAAGACGACGGTATATATAAATAGTGATATCTTTAGTGGAGATCCAGTATTGTTGCCTTAATTACACACAATGGTTTCGCTCCTGCCTTTGTGGTACCCTCAGACCACTCTTATCTTCCTCTCCTCGCGTTTACAGCCATAATCCTGGGTTTATATTCTCAGTTAACCCTATATGCCCGCGTGCATCGGCACCGATGCACGCGCACATGTTTTACAAATGATCAATTTACTCGCGAACGGTAAAACGTAGCAACTTACTTTTTTTTCCTCTGTGAAGTACGTATTCAGGGCTTTCCGAAACTAGTTTTGATTTGTCTGTGCGATGCACGTAGAATAAACTACGTTTGTCTGAAAGTCCGTGTCCAAAGCGTGACCCGTGAGGTACAAACAGCTGTGAGATACAAACACACGGGGACTGCCAAAGATCGTCAGAGAGTGAGATCTCTCACTACTCTGTCTGTACTTGTTGTCCCACAGTTGAAACTACAGCTGCGATTGCAATAACCGGCTGAAGAGTGCGCATTATTGATAAAGACGATAATAAATACAGTAAAATTACATTATGTGTATATGATGTATATAAATATAAGTATTATATAAATAATTGATGTTTTTTTTTTTTTTTTTGGCTCAGTTTCTTATGTTTTACGTTTTTTACAGCTGTACTACAGAAGCAACCCCAGCATTATAGACAAACTGCTTCAGGAAGGGCATCAGGAGTACGTTTTTTGCTTTTATAGTGGAATTTTGTAAAAAGTATAATAGTTAGAGATTCAATTTTTTTCCCCATTATCCCCAAGTCCATAAATAACATTTCTATGCAGTGTAAAAAGTTGTTTATAGCATTTCATTGTGTTTTTTCAATACATTTTTGTTAAATTGATTTTCCGTTTGATTTTTTTCTTTGTCTTCATGATTCCACAATTTTTATATAATTCATATGACAGCTTTACAATATGAATATTCTAAAACCCCAGGTTGTACTGAAAAAAACAAAGTATACTGCTTGACTCTGCATCAAAAGATGACTGTTTTATGAACAATTATACACAAAGAAAACCAGGCGAGGAAAGTTCCCCAAAATGAACCATGGGCATAGAGGGTTAATGAGTGAAACCTAACACCGAATGCACCAAGGACGTCGCCGATAACGGTAAAGCAGAAGAACGTGACTGTGATGTAATGAGGCTTGATATTGTACGAGTATTGTCAGGGCTATTGGTCCAATCAGTGTGAAATACAGTTTGATAATCCTTATGTTCTGCTCGGGGCAGCTTCCAAAGATTTTACTGCGACTATAGCAAGACGAGATCAATCTTTTTGAGTAGTGTAGTGTATGGGTTTGTTATTAGAATACAAATAGAAAGGGGTTAAACAGGTTCCAGAAAAAGCCAGTGTTGCTTCAGGTTTTCTTTCTACCAAGCAGGAGCACACCTGACTCCACCCATTTCGTCAAGGCTTTTGGCTGAGTCTGGTTTGCTCCTTCTTGGTTGGAATGAAAACCTGACGCTATACCAGCGCTTTGAGGACTGGTTTGACACCCCTGGATTACAGGTAATGTGTTAAAATGAGACCACAGTTGCTGCTAACTGCTTGGCTTCATGGAAAACATTTTAATCTGACTTTAAAACTCCACTAAAACAGTTCCACACTGCACCTTTAGCTCCACCTGCTCTTAGACGACTTCTGTTTTACAAAGCTGGCGACAGGCCGGTCAAACATATCCAGTATCACTTTAGCCAGCTTCATACAACAGGCTATATATATTTTTTTATACTTTGTAATTGCATTTGACCCACTCATTTCTACTTTTCACTTCTGCAGATTGGTGGAGACCTTGGAGGAAATCCTGCTGTAAGTAATCAACAAAGTCACTAGGCATCTTGGATTTGCACTTTAATAACAAAAGTAATTCTTTGTTTTCTGTTTCCAGATGGGAGCTGGCTTTGGGGCCCCCTCCTCATTCCCGGCCCCCGCGAGCAGAGGCCTGGACGACCTGTTTGATCTCGGCGGAGGAGTCGGCATGGCATCAGGAACATACTGTCCACCTAAAACAGTAAGTGCTCATAGACTGTGCTGTAGATGGACAATGCTAAGCCGCTAGCTCAAACCTTTCTGTATGAATTAAAGTGTAGCAAACATTTGAAACGCTTTGTTGTCGTCTCAGGTGTGGCTTCCTGCTATGAAGGGAAAAGGTCTGGAAATCTCTGGAACGTTCATCCGCAGAGCCGGAGTCATTCAGATGGAGATGACTCTGACCAACAAGGCCATGTCCGTCATGACTGACTTTGCCATCCAGTTCAACAGAAACAGGTCGGTTCACTAAACCTGAAGCTGTGGACTTCAATCCCTCTCATACTTGACAAGTTTTCACCTAAAATCCATCTATTTAAATGTATTTGTGGCCATAGTTGTCCTTGATTCTTACTACAGTGTGTTGCATGTAAAAGCCACATCCCGTTAGACCTCGGAAGCTAAGCAGGGCAGGTCTTAGTTATTACTGTGATGGTAGACCTCTGGGGACACCAGGTTCCCAGAGGTCATAGTTTATCACCAGCATGTATGGCCTATTCACAACAGGGCGGCACGGTGGCTGAGTGGATAGCACTCTCGCCTCTCAGCAAGAAGGTCCTGGGTTCGAATCCCGGTCGGACCAGGGCCTTTCTGAGTGGAGTTTGCATGTTCTCCCCGTGTCTGCGTAGGTTTCCTCCGGGTACTCCGGTTTCCCCTACCACTAAAAATATGTCCAATAGTTCTGGCATGCGCCTCCTGTACTGGCGACCCCGCTCCCATCTCTGTCTGGAGTGAGAGACAAATGCCCAAAATTAACAATTGTAAACCGCTTTGAGACTCAGATCTGCAGTGAAAAGGCGGTATATAAATAAAAACTTACTTACTTACTTTGCCATGCTTGGACCAGAAACATAGTCATCATCATCATCAAACTATGAATACAGACTCATGGTCCAGGATGAGACAAACACATCACATAAAAACACAAAACAACACATTTAATCACAACAATAAGCCTCACTTCTTAGAGCAAAGGGTAGACTAAGGAACTCTTCATGAATGTAAATGAAATGAATTCTTGCTTTTTTAACTTCTGTATTAATACATAATTGTGAAAAGTGAGGTGTGGAGAAGTACCTACCTCCCTGAGTCCCTTAAGGATCTTTCTCTGCAATTACAGCTGCAAGTCTGTCGGGTTATGTCTCCGCCAGCCTTGCCTATCTTTAGACAGGAATTTTGTGACTATATTTCTTTGCATAACAGCTCAAGCTCTGTTAGATTAGATGTGGAGGGCTTGTGGACTTCAACTTTCAAATCTTTCCACAGATTCTCAGACTAATCTCGCAGACTAATACTATACAATATACTTTTTAAAACATGCCATAGTCTTACCTGTTTGTTCATTACAAAGTAGTCTATTTCGGGGCCTTTACTGCGTCTATTTCAAGCCTCTGAGTATTACCATATCTCTTCTGTCAATGACCAAAATATGCAAAGTAGCTGCAGAGAAGAAAGGTTACAAGTGTTCTGATAAATGACCGTCCAGCCTTGATGTCCTTGCGCTTTCTCTTGATGTGTTTTAGTTTCGGCATGGCTCCAGCGGGCCCTCTGCAGGTGCTGACTCCGCTGAGCCCAAACCAGAGCATGGAAGTGGCCCTGCCGCTCAACACGCTGGGCCCCGTCATGAAGATGGACCCCCTCAACAACCTGCAGGTAAGTTGCGGAGAGGGCTCTTATCTCCAGGAGGGTGCGAAAGCGTTTGTGAAAATTAGATATTGTGATGCTATTTTTAAGTGCAATGACGTGGGAAAAGTTCTCTGGTATTAAGAAATCAAAAGATCAAAAAACTGGATTGTCAACACTGGAATTGAACTAAAAAGACATTTTAATAAGTTATGTGTCATGGGCGGCACAATGGCTGAGTAGTTAGCCTTCTCCAGATAGGGCTTTTCTGAGTTTCCCTTACCATTAAAAACATTTACATGTAATCTCTAGGGAAAGAACTCTCCTGAAAAAGTGATTCTGAAATGTCCTGTTTAAATAAATGTCATGCAGCTATGTTTTCACCTCTCCTCTCTCATGTGGCCTGTCACTCATGATATGCTTGATGTGTTTTTTTGATCTAATCTAATCCGAAATTGATCGGCCTAAATTACCCACATAATCCATTTTACTCTGGATCAAAATCTCAATACATTTGGACAATACAGAAAGAAAGTAGCCTCATGATTCTCCTGTATGAGCTGTTGGATCGGAAAGTCTGGGAATTTGAGATTATGAACAACATCGTGAATTCAAGTCCATTTAAATAATCTGGAAGTATTTCTTTTTGCTATGTACTTCTTACCAACACTGCATGCACTAATCCAACACAATGTATAGAGGATTTCAGTTCTGTCATCACCGTGTGTGGAGAGAAGGGAAATGAACTCTTTGTCTGACCTATGTAATAAAAAGGTCACTCACTCACATTACCCGACAAAATGAAGATGTATTTTTATCCAGCGTAGCTCCCAGCTGTCCTCCAAGCTGCAGTTTGGTCTCTCGCTGCTGCTGCTGGAGGCTGCGTGGATTAGATGTGTCTCACGCACATGTGTCCGCTGCTGATAAGAGACTGTCTTCTGCACTGGCCCCGTCTGCTCTGCACATTTCTCTCGTAAAAAGAACTCTCATACAACCATTGAGCATGATTTGGATGACCGAAGGGATGGGATTTATCAAGTTTGGATGTTTGTGTTGTCGTACATGGTCTCCGATTTATGGTTTTCAAGCTGTGAATGCTGAAAATTCAAGTGAAAAAATATTGTAAATTCAAAACTTGTACCTAAAATTTAAATTAACTTATAAACTACAAAGAATTACTTATGTTCTTATAATCCATGTAATGAGTTTTCTTTCAAAACATTTTGGTTCCATAACTAGTTTTCAAATGCATGTATTTTTGGCCACATCTTTTGATCAGCATTTTCAGTGAGAAAGAGGACCACCCTCTCTCAGCCAATCAGCTCTCACTGTATAGATGAAGGCGAGATGGAGATGTAGCCTATTGTTGTTTTTGCACCATCCAAGCTAATATCAAAGACCTCAGACACAAACTATTTACTGCCTTTTTTAAAAGCAAAAATGTTGCGTCCAAGTTAGTTTGCCTTGAATTAAACTGCCCCATATTGGATTTTATATAATTCTCTTAATTTTGTCCACACAGAGGCATCATTTATTTTCATGTTGCAATGTATCACTTGGCCTACTGCTGATGGAGGATAACAAAAGTGACAACTGATTGAACTGGTCACATGATTTAATGAAGAGGTGTTAGTGAAAACTTTTTATTTATTGCGCGCCTCAGAGATTGACTCACAAGGCGCTTCAAGTTAAAATGACGCTGTTAAAACCACAATCACATTCATGGAATACATTCAGTGCAAAGAGACTGCACAAAAAAGAAAGTACATTTAAAGTGAGTCTTTAACGAAGGAGTCGGCTCTCTGCTGTGTTCACATAATTATAAAGAGCTCCTGGAAAGCGCCCTGGGCACCTTCTGGCTGTTGTTGGGCGCTATACAAATAAAAATTTGATTGATTGAAGAGCTGATACATTTCTGTCAATTCTTTTTGCCGGGAGGAAACTTTACCACAATGAAAATGTATACATTGGCTGCAATGCTACACAGATTGCAGAGGTTAGAGAGCTTGAAAAAAGAGGCTTATTACAACATTTTCATACACCACAAACAAAACTGTTGAAATGCAGCTTGTTTATCCCAAACCGACCCTGCGCTCCTCTGCAGCCAGAGATGACGTACGGTGAATAATGCAGGAGCCACAGCTGTCCTTCTGATCCCCACATGAAAGTCCACTCGCACCAAAAGACACAAAGACAGAGACACTTGCATTCTAAATCATACACTCGTACATTTGCATGCTCTTAAATAATCCTTACAATGATTGCATTTGCTTTGGCAGAAAAAGGCACCATTCTTTCTTAGTAAAACTACTGCATTAATAACGTAGTGACCCTAGGATATGGATACTTAAATTTACTTTTTAGACGCCAGCAGTTTTTTGAGAATTGTATTGTGGACAAAAGGTGACACCCTGTAATTCAATAAAAGCTTGTGGACTACTGTAATCGATTACAAAAATACATAGAACATTATGTAAGAAAACTTTTGGGAGCCGTTTGTGGGAAGCAAAGTTGCTGTAGAGAAACTGTCCTGGATTTACTACTTTGGCACCTAAAGGGTTAGGGCTGTCAAAATTATCGCGTTAACACACGTTGATAAATCTTTTTCATTAATCGCGTTAAAAAAATTAACGCGATTAATGCCCATGCATCCCATAATTAAACTCAGAATGTCCGCGGACACATGCGTGTGCATGATGGAGACAGAGCAGGCCCTCTGGGAATCCACGTTTTAAGAATACACGCGTGACCGCGGGGCACTTGTTGTTTCTTGTATGAACTCTGCGAGCTGAGCTGTGGCCGCTGTGGGAGCAAACGGCGCCGCTGGAACGGCAAGACCACGCACTATATTCTCTGCTCGTAACGTGCTGTCTTTGCGTAACCAGTGAAAATATTAAATTCAGTGCTGAAGCTGGACTACGGAGCCTTGTCTCCTCCGTGTTTCTCCCGAAGCACACTCGCTAAATTAAAGCTGGGGTACCTAATTTTCCCTTCCATCACCAGTTCATGTTGGTTGTGCCAAAAAACGTAATGGTGTAACTAGGGCTGGGCGATAAAACGATAACGATATATATCACGATAGACATGTGTTCGATATCAATAGAGAATGGGGTCGATAGAATGTTCGATAGTTTAACTTAACTCCGTCAGGAAAAACAGGAAGAAAACACCGGAAGTAAAGCCGACTCATAAGCGCATGGCATTGTGGGGGATGTAGGCAGAGGCTTCTCGACCAATAACAGCCGAGCAGGAACCGCAGAACTTTGTGGGAAATGCAAAAACGCAACCGCAGCATGCGTAGCGTCCATGGATCTATAGCTCGTGTTTCAATGCCGTGTCAATGGTTATGCACGTACGTGCGCGGAATAACATGTGCGGCGGCAGAGGCAGTGGACAGACACGATGTATTCGGCGAAAGCAAGAGATTAACTTTTTCCTCGGGAAGCATGTGCGGCACAGAGCCGCACGGAGCGGTCACGGGGACACAAGACCCTCAAACAGCTAAACCAGGAGCTAAACCAGGAATAAAAACCAGGATTAAACCAGGACTAACAACGAGGGACACAGTGTGAACATATTCCTCCAGCCTCATCGCCCCGTGACTGTAAACAAGGCTGCTAAGGTTGATTAGCCCACACGACAAATATATTTATTTAGGTAAAAAAAAAAAACTCTATATATCGTTATCGACCGATATGAATGACTTATATCGTGATATAGTTTTCAGCCATATCGCCCAGCCCTAGGTGTAACCAAATCAAACAGATTTAATGACATTCTGCTTCAGACTGTTTTGAAATGACCCTCATCTGTAACAGACAATAGTTTTGCTCTGAGTCTAAACAGAGACAGGATGTTAATAATGTTAATACCATTTTATATGGATTTATTGTATAATAAACAAGTACAGTACATGTACACTATGCTGTTTCATTCAAACAACCAGTTACAGAAACATATGTCATAATTTTGCTGATAGTTTGAAATGTGATTAATTACGATCAATTAATTTTTAAGCTGTAATTAACTCGATAAAAAATTGTAATCGTTTGACAGCCCTAGTTAATACATACATTGAAAATCTATTCAGCATTAAATATGATATGAAAAACATGACTTTGATTCCATAGACAAAGCTCAGTCAGACCAGCTGCTGCTCTGACGGGGAGAGATATTTTTAAACCTCATATTTTTAGAGTTCTTGTATTTGTTCCTGTATCTTGTGTTGATTGGTTGACAATTCAAAGCAAGTAGAAATAGAAGCAAAGCTCAAAAGACAGCTGCACTTTGGAATCTGCTGTCTGTTTATTGCCGTCAATGATGGGACACAATGATTGTTTTGTTTCCTCCTCAAAACCAGAGGCGGAGTAGTTGGCTTCTGAATCGTTCTCTCAATAATCGCTTTGTTCTGAGTATATCTGTTATGTCATAGAGCTGCAGAGATCCTTTCTGCTTTCCAAACCTCATTCAGAAGTAAATTATTTCAATGCAGTGTTTATATTAGGCATCCCTGGTTCCTAATATTCAAACCTTTAAATTTTTTTACTGTAATAAAATCTCTCGCTAGTTCCTCGTTTAAAAAAACGCACCGTGTTCTTGTCTATTTTGACCTTTATCACATCTTAAGATCAGACCTCAGTGAAAAAGAGATAACCACCCCCACTCGGCCAATCAGTATCAGGGCTGTCAAACCGGTCCATTTTCTCCAGGCTTCAGGTTAAGAATAGACTCACCTGAGTAAATGAGTGGAGTCTGGTGTGCTCCTGCTTGGTTGGAATGAAAACCTGCAGCCACTTTGACTATGTATCTGTCTGGGTCATATTAGTCCCAACAGTTAGCCAGAATGTCCAGCTATGTTTAATTTAATTGCTGATCCATGTTTCCACCATTTCCATTTGGCTGCATTAGTCGCCCAAACAAATCAATTCCTATTTGTTTATTCAAATTGAGAATCGGATTTCTTTGTGTTGCCATTTTAAGTATCATGTCACTACTAGAAATTAGCTTTGTTATATGGTTCAAACTAGTTA